GACTGGATGGCGCATGAGGTCTCTTCCAACTCTTTGATTCTATGATACTCCACTTAGGCAGGAAAAACAAAATGCAAAGATATAGAATAGGGTACCCCTGGCTCAAGAGCAGTACATGTGAAAAAGATCTTGGAGTCCTCATGGACAACAAGTTCAACATGAGCCAACAATGTCATGCAGCGGCAAAAAAAGCCATGAGATTTTGGCCTGCATCAACAGGAGTATAGTGTCTAGAACCAGGGAAGTCATGCTACCCCTCTATTCTGCCTTGGTCAGACCACACCTGGAATACAGTGTCCAATTCTGGACACCACAACTGAAAGGAGATGTTGACAAGCAAGAATGTGTTCAGAAGAGAGTGACTAAAATGAGCAAAGGCCTGGAGAACAAGCCCTATGAGGAGCGGCTTAAAGAGCTGGGGATGTTTAGCCAGCAGAAGAGAAGGCTGAGAGGAGACATGATGAGGGCCATGTATAAATATGTGAGGGGAAGTCAGAGGGAGAAGGGAGCAAGCTTGTTTTCTGGTGCTCTGGAGACTAGGACGTGGAGCAATGGCTTCAAACTACAGGAAAGGAGATTCCACCTGAACGTGAGGAAGAACTTTCTCACCATGAGAACTGTTCAGCAGTGGAACTCTATACCCCAAGGTGTGGTGGAGGCTCCTTCTATGGAGGCATTTAAACAGAGGCTGGATGGCCATCTGTTGGGGGTTCTTTGAACGCGAGGTCCTGCTTCTTAGCAGGGGGTTGGACTGGATGGCCCACAAGGTCTTGTCCAAGTCTGTGATTCTATGAAAACCATTTCCCCCCATTTTCCTGTTATTTCCCCCACCAATGTACCCTTCATGGAAACAACCCTTGTTTATGATATGGGAATAGCCAGTGAAAATGGGAAAATATTATTATTATATTTATTTATACCCTGCTTTATCTCCCCAAAGGGGACTCAAAGCGGCTTGAATGTGATCAAAGCGGCTTGAATGTGATTGGCAGGGAGTTGGACTGGATGGCCCATGAGGTCTCTTCCAACTCTATGATTCTATGTATCCCCTAATTGATCATGTGAACGAAGTTGTTGTCTCTCATAAATAGTGACAATTTGGTTGGACACTAAGAATTCTGGAAACTGAATTCTGTTATTACTTCATCACAAAACAAGATGAAAGTCAAATCAAGAGATGCTTCTTAATTTATCATGTCATAGATCTACACATGTTACACAGAGAAATCCATTTCCGGAGAAACCTAGCTTTGGAAGATCTTTTTAAGCAGACCAAGGTGCAGACCCCATTTGCGGCATAAATCTGAAATCCTGCTGAAAGAACCTTCTAAGACATTCTCCTCTTCTGGAAGGTAGATTGCTGAGATAGAGATTCCCATGTTGATGCACCAAACCCAAATTTAAAGAGTGAGCTGAAGCAGAATGATGGATCTGTTCTCCCTTGTTTATTCAGATAGTATATAATGGTGTATTGTTGGTAACTACCTGAACAACTCTGCTCCACTCCCAACATATCTGGTGAAGTTTAATGAACCCCCACTGAGAGACTTCCCAGTTAAGCTCTACATCCCTTCAAGGAGACAAATGTGTTAAGTACTTCATTTCATGCACATTTGCTGGATGCTCCCATCACTTTAGTGAACAATATAGGGAATGGTTAGTCCCACTGTTGAGAGTCTTACAATGGATTGAAAGAAACCAAGCTTGTAGCAGTTTCATCTGCAGCCGAACAAATGGATTCACAGAGGTGACTGATGTAAGCCAGAAGTATTTGAACATATTTGGCAGTCACCCTTCAATTTCAAAGACAGTAATGGGCAGTTTTTTGGAGGGCGATCTAGACTTGGGTTTGAAAATATAATACAGCTCTAATGAACGGTATCTGTCACATGTCATCATCATAGGCGATCACTCATAGCCGAGTATTATTGTCTTCCATGGCAAAATCTTGGCAGTGGGTCCATAAGTGACCGTAGAGACTTATTCTGGAACCACATGGTCTTTTGCAGTGAGGAGATATATTTCCAGGTGGAAGGTGATTCCGACAAGAGTATGGCTTGACATGTCTTCCTCTTGGTACATTTCTCCTTTTTGCTCTTTATTTGTGCCTCTTCAAAATCCATAGCACTTTTGGTGACAATCGACCTCAATGCTTGACACCTAATCTCACTTTAAATGGATCACTTTGGGAGCCATTGCTGTCCAATACTCTTGCCATTATGCCATCATGGAGAAGACACCGGAGGTTCACAAATTTATCAGGGATTTTGCAGGGGGATGGTCCAGAGAGAATTACGATTCACTGTGTCAAAGGCCTTTGCAAGCTTGATGAATACCATGTTGCTTGCATTTTTCATCATAGTCTTTCAGTCAAGATTTCTCCATGTGAATCAATTACAACTAGAGAGGATGCCTCTCTAAACAATAAAGATCATATCATTGTCCTACTAGAGCCCTCTGTGACACAATGGCTTAAACCCTTGTGCTAGCAGGACTGCTGATCAAAAGGTTGGTGGTTTGAATCTGGGGAGCAGGGTGAGCTCCCATCTGTCAGCTCCAGTTTCTCATGCAGGGACATGACAGAAGCATCCCACAGGATGATAAAACATCCGGGTATCCCCTGGACAACATCCTTGCAGATGGCCAATTCTCTCACACCGGAAGCGACTTGCAGTTTCTCAAGTCATATCCTTCTACCGAAAAGAGGTCTTTTGGGTGAATTTTTGAAAACTAATCATTATCAAGGAGCTCAAAGGGATAAAAATCAATTATTGATGGACAAAATGCTGACTAGACGCTACCATAACTGAGGAGTATAGAGAAATTTGTTGTTCTCTGCTTGTGCCTTAGTAGGTGTAATAGGACATGCTCATAAAAAAGTGACTTGTGGTGGAAATTATTATTATGCTGGCCTGCAGTTTGAAACCCTTGCAGTGAGGACACAAACCAACTTTGTGACCCCCATTCAAAAAGAATGAATACTTGGAATGTCTATTTTTCCACCATAGTCAGTACGTTTTTTGAATGATGCTGAGGAGACCATAAAAGAACTCTTTAAGAACGGAATGTCCGAAAACAGGTTGAAATACTGAGATCATAAAATAAAGCCATGGTAAAAGAAAGACCCATTCTACATTGATATCGGATTTGACCCAATTGGAGCCATCAGTGGGCCTCCCTCAGCCACCTCAGGAGCGATCCACATCTACATGACCTAAGTGGTCAGTGTAGATTTGCCCAAGTCAGACAGACAGTACAACAAAAAGCCAAAATGGAGTAGAGCAGGGAACCAAATAAGACAAACCATTAATCGAAAACTGGAGACTCTAAAATGCTTCTTTAGCAATGCTGCTACAGTGGCAGGAAACAAGGAATTGAGTGTTTAGGTGGGAAGGTTGCTATAAAATGGTGCTGAGGAGGAAAGGTTCCTGCCAAAAAGTACTGCAAAGGCGCGTATTACCAATTTATATGAATCACAGAGACCATGAAGAACTCTATGCTTCCGGCCTTTTAAACACTTTTGCTTTGTTAGTAAACTTGAGATTTCTGGCCTAGGAGCCAAGCCAAGCTAGCATTCATTACATTTTCTGGCATCAGCAATACATTTTGATATTATGCCATGTCAGCTTCTATTCCCCAACTATCATATTATGAGAAAGAGAGAGAGCCCTTTAAATGACAAGCATCTCCTTGTACTAGTATGCTAGAAACACAGCATAATTGTAATAATACTCAAGTCATAAATGAAGGAAAAACTGTACAATGAACAGAAATGTGCATCTTATCTGCCACACCCCAAATCTTTATTTGCATTTTTTTTAAAAAAATGTTCAGACACGGATAGCTTATCTCCAGAAAAATAAAACAAACAGAATAACATTCTTATAAGAAGGGTGATTTAGTCTCATAAAGCAATCATTTTATTTCCAAAGCAGAGATGCTACTAGGGAGGCATTACAAAAATAGTACGAGGACTATGATAAGTAGCTGCCCAGTTTTATTGTGTGCAAAGGGGGAAAGATTCATACAGAGTTTGGAGACACTCCAGCGTCTGAAGTATGCCAGTACTTTCATACAATGGGTGATCATGAAAAGTACGAGATAGGGAAGTTACATTGTGGAGCAAAAAGATTTCCACATCACATGGGGCAGAGCAAGCCACTTGGAAACTGAGTTGTGTGTGTCATGTTGACGTTACTTTATCTGCCAATTTCCTCTCTGAAATAGGGAAGAGGTAGAAAATGCTTTTATGCCAGCAAACCCTGGGAACACAACACCTTTATTTTAACAGCCTTCCAAGAAAGGAACCCCCTGCTACATTTTGGCATTGTCCCGTTACAGCTATCAGCAACTCAACAGCTGCTTGTTTTACAATGACTTGCTAGAGAGAAAATGATTGAAGGAGCCAATCTATGTCACATGGAGAAGCTCCTAGCAAGACTCAGCGGGAGGCAATACATGAGGATTGAGGTCAGGACAAACAAAGTACAGTGGGCAGGAAAAGACAATTCACCAAAGACAAGAAAGGAATAGACGACAAGAACACTGAACACTAGTTAAAGGGCCACTTTCCAGACTGCTCAAATGCAGTACCATTATTTGCATTTTTACTCCCAGCCAGTCCCACTGCTGTGTGCGCCATTGCTTATTCCCAGGGAAGTGTGCATGGAACTACAGCCTTATTTTTTGTTTGTAGATAAGGTGGTTGAAAGCATGAAGCCAGAGCTATGATCAGCACCTTTGGAGAGCAGGGATCTGGTTTGAGGGAGGAGAAAAGGAATTCTGTCAGGAATCCCTCCTGTACAACCCTATTTTGCAAGGGCACAAGATGCTCCTGTACCTCATTTTCTGTCAACACCTCCCATGTCTTCATGGTTTTATATGGATGACATAACATTTGGATAAGACAGACATAAACAAGTCTGGCAGGAAATATTAAACAGACATGCACCCGCCCAGCCCCTCCATCAGCTGGAAATGGTATTCAGCCCACCATTTACCTGGAATACTTGCAGGAGAAATGGGACCAGATCTTGACTGGTTGCTTCCAACAGGAGAACCCACAGGGGAAGGGGAAGGTCCCCCAGGGATGCTGGAGAGATGTGGGGAGGCATGAGGGGAGAAAGGTGATTGTGCTGGGTTGCTCTGCTCCCCTTGACTGCTGGTAGAACCTGATGCACTAACTGCTGAACTCAGTGTTGCTTCAGTTCCTGTAGGCAGGTCATCAATGGAGCCCGATAAATCCTGAGAAGAAAGAGGGGAGGAAATTGAAAAAAGAGCAACAGAAACTAATATCCAAGGTAAATACTGAGGACATTAGATGGGGTAAAACACCTTTCAACTTGGAACAGGTGTCCTGATAACACTGCGCCTGGAGAACAAGTTATTAACATTTCAAAAAAATGGTTGTTTACTTTGTCACATAAAGGTATGGTATATACTGTGTTTCCTCACACAACAGTCACCACCATGTAATAGTTGCATCTCCATTTTGTGGGTCTGCTTCGGTATTTGTTTTCTTGCACAATAGTCATATCCCTGATTTACCAGTGCAAGCCTCCATCTGATCGCCTGCCCAAAGACACCCTCAATTGTGTCACTGGCCTGGCCAGTTGTTCAGCCAGCTGCCCATCGACTCACCCTCCAACTCACTCACTTACTATCTCATTGGGTGGCCCACCCCCTTCCAAGAACACTGCTTGCAGTGGTGTATGGGCAGATGAATGAGTGGGGAGGGGTGTTCTCAACTTGTTTTCAACATAGTTTTATTAACTACTGTTCCTCACATAATAGTCGCACCCACTTTAAAGGGGGGGGGGCTACTATTATGCAATGTAATACAGTAATAATTGATGTCCAGATTCATTTACCAGGGAGTCAAGGCAAGGCTTAGATGGTCAATGTATATTCAAACCAAAACTTATTTTTTTTCTTGCTACAGTTTGACTGCATAGTGAGCCACTGAACATTCGTTTCTCAGTTAATATTTCGTGGAGCTCCCCAAATATCCACTGAGATTGCTAAGACATTTCACAGGTGTCTACTTCTGCATATTATTTATGTCCTTAGTATTAGTTTATTAGATGAATATCCTGTGCCATTATTTATCCTATTAAGCTTCTGACATAAGATGAACGTTTTAAAATATGATCTTGCTACAACACAGCATTTTCATTCACTTTTAAATCAGATAGAAAAAGCAATACCCTAATCCCTTGTCATATTGGAGGTGGAAGTACATTAATGCAAGGATTGCTCTGGTGTGCAGTTTACACACCCCTGTAGTAAATACAAGGAGTCCATTTAAAATACCCCTCAGGCTTTAAGAGTTGCATTTTATTTCATTATATTCTATAACTGTGAATTATAACATTGGAACACAAATCTAAAAAGAACTGAAGATGTAATAAATGGTTATCAAATTCTGCAGTGCCAGCAAAAGAAAAATGTTATGTCCCATAGTAGACTTGAGCAGGTGTAGAAAACTTTATCACAGTACCAGGGTTTCAAAGAAACACAATGACAGTTAGATAATGAAAGTGTAAGGTGGTAAGACACGGGAGGGCTGAGTGTACAGTGAAATAAGACAGGCAGCTAATCAAACCGCTATTATAGTCTAGAGGTTTTTCCCCCCTTGATAATGTCATAATGCTTGTACTTAATAGAATTCTGTAATGTATAAGCAGCGTACAAAACACACTCATATTTATTGTTTGAATACTCTCTCAGACAGAGTACTCAAAACCCATGGCTCCTGACTGAAGCAGTTTGGGTACGCTTCCATCATATACCTGGGATGGAATATAGCCCTAACTATTGGGAAATGTGCATTTATGCAGCTAATCAAGGTGCAAGGTGTTTCAAGACCTCACTTTACATTGGATAGCTTAACATTCCACAAATTAATACTTATTTTCCCCAATAAGTAACAAAAAATCTTTGCTTTTCAGCATCACGGAACTATCAAAGCGGATGCTGGAGCCAGGGCACTTAAATGACAGTACTCTTCCTCTAAAAAGGCACATGCAAATGCCAAATGTAGCAGATTTTATTCTCTACGATCCCCATGTCTCTAGGCAACAAGGCAGCCATTCAACACTCATTGAAGCGTAGGTTCCTCCTTCAGTACCACGCAAGCTACAAAGGAGGCTTACAGCAATGGAACAAACAGTGACAGTGACTAAAAAGCTGTTTAAAATGAGGTTACCATCTTGTACCTTCCCAACTCCTGTGACTCTTTTGAAAGGTGACAAGAGTGACAAAACAAGCAAAGCAATTATACCCAGAATGGGGATGCAATGATTAAGGAACTGAACATGCTATTCTGCTTTGAGCGGTACACTTCCCAGAGTATAGGTCCCCTAGACATATACAGAAGGCAATCTTACTATGTTGTTAGAATTTATTGCATCACTAGGGTAATCAATAAGGATTTGGACTGTTTGTTAGCAGATATGCACCTCTCCACATCTCTGTAGTTTATTAAAGTAAGTTTTTATCCCAGTCTTTATCTGAAAGTCCAAATAATAATAAACACTAAAATCAACTTGATTGATTGTGGAGCCCCTGGTGGTGCAATGGGTTAAACCCTTGTGTCGGCAGGACTGAAGACTGACAGGTCAGAGGTTCGAATCCGGGGAAAGTGGGTATTAGCTTCCTCTGTCAGCTCCAGCTCTCCATGCGGGAACATGAGAGAAGCCTCCCATAAGCATGGTAAATTATCAAGACATGCGGGCATTCCCCTAGATGACGTCTTTGCAGATGGCCAGTTCTTTCATACCAGAAGCAACTTGCAGTTTCTCAAATTGCTCCTGACACTTTAAAAAACAAAACATAACCTTGATTGACTTAAAATAGCAAGTACATGATTTTAAAAGGTTACAAATATATTAAACAATTGAAGAAGTTAAAAGGCATCAATCTGCTTTAAATAGTTTTAAATTGTTGAAAAAAAGACACATGCATGAATATGTGATTCTAAAATTAAATAAGCTCCAATTGCTATAAAATGAGAGGGGTATCTCTATCATTCACCTTTGCTTTTTAAAAAACTGAACAAAAACAGGGGGCATCTGCTTTTGAATTTCTTTCATTTACTCTTTTTTGTATAGACCTTGGATGGGACCCAGATCGAGTCCTATCTAGATGGACACCCCTCCCCTGGAATCAGTGATGTTGAAATAGATAGCTAATGTAAGTTGCATTAATGTCAATGGGTTTACTTTCCATACAATCAAGTTTGAATGTAAATCATTGTCACTCTGTCACACAAGGAATGTTTTCCAACAAATGAAAGAGAAAGAAATTATTTTTATGTATTTATGAAACAATGAATCCAAACCATTTTCCTCATAGGGTCAAGCACATTATTGTTTCAGAATACTGTTTGCCCAATTTGCATTAGCATCCCAGAACACTTATATGATACTTTAAGAAGCCGATTTCATCTGTAAGTATATATTTAACCAAGAAGATGTAAGTAGATATATATATCTGACAAACAGATATGCAGTAACCGTTTTGTCTTGATATAATAAAATGCATCCTTGAATAATGTCAAGTGTGTAACAAATGCAGCAGAAACAGCAGATAAAACAAATACCGGCTGCAAAGAATACAATAAAATATGAAAACAAAACCCCCTCAAGATAGGTTCAGTTGTTTAAAATGAATACCAATCTTCTGCATTGTAAAAAAAGAAAAAAGGAGATAAAAGAACAGAAAGGAATTGTGCGCCCCTGAGGGAAACATGTTACAATAATGCACAATACTGCATTTAGGGTAGCCATTCCAGTCAGACAGCAGCCAAGAAATTGATAACATTTTCTGAACTGCAGGTAACCTGTTTTATAAAGCCAAGTAATGTTTGAAAATATTATTAAGTATGTAACACGGTGAAGGATAAAATGATTTGTAGTTCAGGGATCAAGGCAATACCCGAGAGCCTGCTGTAATGCAACAATTTATCTTTGGTTCGCTCAGTGAACGTGCAAATGGAGAAAAGCCGAGGGGAAGGGGAAGGGGAATACATCTAGAGTGGTTCTTCCTCCCCCTTCCTTGCCCCAAATCAGGTCAAATTACTCCTTTTTTATTTTACTAATCCCCCATGGGGGTGGACTGAGTGACATGTCTTCGGCATCCCCTCAAGTGCGTGCCTTCAAGGGATTTCCTTGCAAATCTGACACAGCTCATTCATAAAATCAAAAGGGGGGGGGGGCACGTGATGCCATTCTTTTTCAACAGCTACATTGTGTCCAAAAAATAAAGTGTGTGCGGAGGGGGAGGGGGAAGAAAAGCAAGCAGCAATTTCAAACGCCTTGCACGGCTTTTCAGACTCGCTTTATTGACCCTTTAAGTACGTCATTCTTCAGTCTTATAAAAAACAATAATCAGCAGGATTTCCTTCTCAGACTGTAAAGATGCAAGAATATCAGGCAAGTCAGGTAGTTTCTTAGGTAGTCATCCTACACACACACACACACACACACACACACACACACACACACACACACACAAATAACAGACCCCACTGAATTCGATGGTCCTATCTTTAGAGTATTTATCATAGAAACAAAAACAGTTGCCATTATCAAGTGAGAAAGCAGACATATATATCACCTGTCTTCAAAACAATATAATCATCTTACAATTGGCACATTTTCCTAAAACCTTAACAAGATGCATGCAGTAGCACCCACCTTTCCCCTTTTCTTTCTCTTCCTATTACACATTCATATATAGGGACACACATATTCAAGAATATAAATCAGGAAAACTAGTTTAGATGTTTTTATGAATTCCAAGATATTGATTTCTACATTTCTGTGACTCTAAGACATACTTTTCTTCCATGTAAACATCTTGAAAGATGGAGGGCATCTTACAATCGAATGGGGTGCTTTTTACTATTGGCGATACTGAAATTACAGTAGAGTCTTGCTTATCCAACATAAATGGGCCAGCAGAACGTTGCAGAAGTGAAAATGTTGGATAATAAGGAGGGATTAAGGAAAAGCCTACTAAACGTCAAATTAGGTTATGATTTCATAAATTAAGCACCAAAACATCTTCTTTTTTTACAACAAATAAACATAAAAAACAGTTCAATGCACAGTAACATTATGTAGTAATTACTGCATTTATGAATTTAGCACCAATGCATAGAAATGTATTGAAACAGCTGTGGATCTGGGCGGGAGGCAGACTGCGATGGATAATACAGAACGTTGGATGAGCAAAAGTTG